GGAAGTTTCATTAAACAGTAAAAGTTTGGGCTTTAATGGTTACATCTTCTAATTTCCAGAATGTCACCGGTGGAACTGCCTGAAAATAATCCATGTTCTTGGTCAGATAGATGTGTTGTGTGCCATATACTACCACGCGGAGCTGCTTTTGTTCCCATCCAGTTATTATCCACTATTTCAAAGCTTCCCATACTTCTGTTCCATGCTTTCCGCTTGGATTTAGTCAGGTGTGGTCTCAGCCCCCAGATGAAGTGCCTGGTCCAGTCTGCCTATAACCTTCTGATCAGCCCCATTGCTACTCTCTGCAGTGTGCTCCCTGTGTCTTTCTGTCTTGTCTGGGGTAAAACTGCGAATGAGAACAGATGAGCATAGATGCAACCCTGACAAAATGGAAAGATGCTGGTGGATAAAGGAAGTAATGTAAGGGTTCAGGCCATGGCAGTGTATGTTTGAGCAGCAAAGAGCAATTGTGCAGGTCTTAGCTGACCGGGTGTTTCTTCTCAACCCAAAACAAAACAGTAAAAGCCAAAAGCAAACATCTTTGCCAAATCAGGACATTTTAAATGACCACCTTTCCTAGAGGTGTAAAGCACAAAGTGCTGATGGCTGCGGAGCTCCAGGGAGGCCCTTGGGAAGCAGTCAGCCACCTCCACTGCAGGAGCCCAGGAGGTGCTCCAGAGCTTGGGCAGCACCCAGGAAGCCTCCTGAAGATGGAGCACATGGACTGTGGGTGTTGGGAAGCCAAGCTTAAGTCCCTTAAAGATGCAATCTAGTGCTAGGGAAAACCTGATTTTCACATGGGTGTATTTGTACAGCAAACATGGAACGATTCCACTCAAAAGGAGGGGTTTGGTGTCCTGATGGATGTTTCCTAAGAAAAGCTTCTGCTGGAGGCCAGCTGGCAGGGTGTTACACTCTCATACAAATACAAGTAAATTATTACTATCCCTGATGTTCTGTGGTAATTTAACTGACGTATATTGTGTCATAGGTCATCTGGCCATCCTCAAATACCTAACAGCAATGCGTATCAAGTGATGCACTAGATAAATATGGGTTTCATTAACTGTAAAGTGTCTCTGTTATCAATGTTAAGATTCAGTAATGCACATTCATTTGCCTTTCAGTTTACATTTTTCAAAATTACAAAGTGATATATGCCTCATGATAATTTCAGTGCCAAAAAATCACATATTTTCATGACATTTATTCCATTCCTTTCCAAAAAGAGAACGCCAACTTGCATATACTATTTCTGGCTTTTTAAGATTACTTTCCAGAAGATGATTAAAGTAGAGTTTCCCCATGAGAAATGTTTTCTTGTGTGCTCTTGAATTTTCCAAGAATAAGTTTGTTTTCCCATCTTCCAGAGAAAAAGAACCCTGGTAGTTTATGTAATCAGAAAACTCTGTTGTCAAAGCAATGAACATCAGAGAATTAAAATGCTACTTTACTATTGTGGGTGGGGAAAAAAACGTTACAAAAAATCTCTGATAGACTATTTTTATGTTTAAAAACTTGCATGTCAGAATATTATATATATATTATATTTTACCAAAAAAAAAGTGGTGAGAGGCAATAAAGCCAGGGTCAGTACCTGAAAAAAATAACCCCTAGCAAATCAAAGCACAAGCTTTTGTCAGTTTGAAAGTAAATGCTAGCGAAGATTATCTGGACAGACTCACAGTAACCCGCATTATGAAGCTTGAAGTCACTGCTGACATGGGTAGACCCTGGAACACCCAGTTCCAGCCTAAGGGACAATAAATATACCTTAGGTCTGTCCCGTTATGAATAGAAATATTAGAATGATAGACTACTTTGGACAGCTTTGCATATAATACGGATTTTATGTCATTTCTAACACAACCAGGAGAATTATTATAATTTCCCAGCTCTTGGTAAATGAAGCCTTCAGGAATGCGAAAACATTCTACTGCTTTTGCCTGCAAACATGCCATCCACAGAGTGACACGGAACATTCCTCATTTCTTGACTGGTATGTCTCCAGGGTGACTTGTGAAATAATGAGGACACAGCTTAAAGAAGGCTGTATCTCACCCATCTACTGAAGCACCCTTTTGTTACATGTATAGAACAGGAAGAGGAAGCAACATTTGGCTCTATCAGGACCACATCTCCTGACAGCATGGTTGTTCTACTTATTACAACCACCAAAACCCCCATGGAAATCCAGCTTTCCAGATCAACAGTCCAAAAGACTTCATGATGTCATTTTCTCTTTTCTAAGGCGGTTAGCCACACAAGGGAATTAGGGTGCTAACCTGCAAGACACCAGGAATCCCTGCCAGCAAGACCTGGAGGTGTTCAGCATCTGGTGAAGCCAACCCCATAATGGCTATAGAAATGTCAAAATCCAAACCTCGTATTTTACAAACACGTAGGTAGTGTACTCGTACAGAGTGCGATCAGCTGATTGCCCATGGGCCTGTTCTCATGGCTTGCTGAGGCCCTTCAGCAGCCAAACCACAGCAAAAGGATATTCCTGGGTCCTTGTCTGGCCTAACAAACCCATCCTCCCACTTTGCAGGAGATGAAAGGATCAGAGCAGGTTAAAAGGTCCCTAAAAGCCCTACTTCCAGAAATCTTCCCCAGCAAATACCCTGGGGACCCCTCCAAACCCAGATGTGGATCAGGCTGGGGGAGAGAGGAAAGGCACCCAGGTGCAGGAGCACCATGAAGCACTTCGGCTGCAGCACCCCAGGGAGGCTGAGTCAGTGCGGGCAGCCCGGTACCCAAACCTCTGTGGCGGCACCCACACTGCTCCACTTCTCAGAAAAGCCAGCACAATCTCTCACCTTTTGCTTTGCATTTGGAGTGGAAACCACACAAACTCTGTCTTCTTCAATGAAACAGAAGCAATGTTGTCTCCTGGCTGATGCCTCATGCGATTTCCTGGATTACTGCCTCCTTTTGTGAGGAGAGATTTGTGCCTGTGAAAGAGTAACATAATTCTCCAAGTATTTAGGCTAGCAGTGATGTGATTGCTGGATGCTCTCCTTGCAGCCATTTCTGGTAATAATTTGTTTCATTCGTCTCAGGAAAGCAAGTGCTTTATTCCACAAAAATACCTACTAGAGATGGTGCTGAAGATATCTTACCCTCTCACCCAGCCTTGCATCTTCTCAGTCCTCTTTTCCACAACAGCTAGTTAGAAAGGTTCTATTTGCAGTAGGGTATGAAAAACAGCTTCATGATCTGAGAGAGTGATGAGGGCTGAGGTTTTCTTCACAGAAAGTTCCCCAAATCCATTCTTCTCCTACATTCTTCTTTCTTCCCAGGGGAAAAGGGAGCTTTGTGCCTCTCTAAGGTTGGGATGGAGCAGCTTCTCACAGCTGCCAGTATAGACCACACATATTAACCCTAAGAATCAAGTGGAAGCCAGGGCCAAGTCACCAAGCTGGACACTCCAAGCAGTGCCAGCCATCCCTGGGATGGTCACCCATGGCCCTGCAACCAAGGAGGTCTGCTCTATCCTCTCTCAGGGTGCTGGGTCTGTGTGCCATGGATCCAGCCTTTCCCTGGAGCACGGAGGTCCCTGTGGTGCATGGAGGTGTCAGGATTGGCCACCCTCTAGCCGCTCAGACCACAGGACTAGAGGTTTCATCCAGCTACTCGCAGTGTGGATATATTCCATGAGTATCCCAGCCCTGACCGTAGTTACCATGCCTGGCGTCTATCAAATCCCACATGTCTCCTTGCTCTGTTACCATCTGACCTCCTCTTAGGAGTCTGGTGAGAAAACCTTTCCCACCCCGAAACCCTGGCCCTGCTGCCAGCACATCTGGAAGAGCAGCGGCCTCCTGGATCCCACATCACCCTCCCTCTGACCTTGCAAGAGGGAATCTGCCTGTTCTTGAGAGTAAAAGGCAGAAAAAGAAAGAAGAAGGAAGAGCAAAAAAAAACAAAAAGGAGAAGGATTAACAACACTGAGAACCAAAAAGCAGAAGGAATGGCAGAATGGAGCAATAACAAGATGTGCACCACAACTAAAGCAAACCACAGGACTGCTTCCCAGCATGGGCAATTGCAGGCAATGCAACAGGTTGCTCAGTCTTAGAGGCCCTTGGACCTGCACCCTTGAAACTCTTCAAGACCACATGAGACAAAGCCCTGTGCAACCTGGCCTGGCCTGGCCTGCTGTGAGCAGCAGGTTGGACTAGAGGTCTCCTGAGGTCCCCTCCAACCTGAATTATCCCATGGTCCTATGATTCAACTGTTCCTAACACACCGCCAAGTACCTCGTGGGATACAGAAGGTTTTTCTGTGCATGGCATAGACGAGGAAGGCAGGGAAGGCTCTCAGGAGGGGTGGAGAGATGAGGTACGTACGCTTGTTTCACTGTTGACAGAGAGTGGGGCAAAAGAGGAACTGACACCTCCGCAGCACCATGGCTTTGTCTGAAGCGCAAGTCTTGCAGGGTCCGGGTGTGAGGACGCGCCAAAGACCTGCAAATTACGGGGTTTGACAGCAGAAAAACCCGGGACACCGCAGGGTGGAAGAGGTGCAATCAAAACGAAAAGGACTCCGTGTCGTCCAGGCGGCTCTGCGGGGGGCTGTAACCCCCAAAACAGGGCTTGCCATTACACACACTGCGGGCAGCCGGGGGTCCGGGGGAGGGAAGCGCGGCAAGGGGGCGTGGTCATCCCCTCCGGGGGGCGGGGCTTTGGTGGCCCCGGTTTAAGGGCAGCGGAGCAGGGAGAGCCCCGCATCCCGCTCGGCCCCGGTAAGCGCTCCCGCGGCTCACTCGTGGCGGTGGGGGGGACGGGATGCGGTGCCTGCGGAAGCCGTCGGGGAGCTGCTTGTGGCCGGGCTGAGCAGCCGGTTGGAAGCGTTGCGTGCTAATGAGCTGCTTTATTAATTAGTGGCTGCTGCCGGCTTCGGTTGATCGCGGCGATGCTCGCTCTGAGACCGGGCGCTTTGCGGGAGATGGGGTGTTTGCCAAGTGCGTTCTTGATTGATGCTCCCCGCTGCTTCCCCCCAGACACCCACCTCGGGCTTCGAAGCTCCCGAGGGCCGGCGGTGCTTTACACCTGAGCTCTGCACAAACCACGGTACTTTGCTTTTCGGTTGTGTAATTAAATGTAGTATATAAATCCAGCTATGCTGCATAGGACTTGAAGATGCTGTTCAGGGGTTTGCTTGGTTTGGGATGCTTTCCTCCCTCTTGCTTCTGAATGTTACTAAGGAGCATATAAATAAATGTGGCTCAGTGAACCACAGCTGTATAAATAATGGCTCAGTGAACCACAGCTGGTGGAAATGATGTTTGTCTTCGTCCATGATGCAAACCTGGTATAAAGCTTCAGCTAGGAAATGATGGTCTGGGGGGTTTCTTGGTTTTTACAGGGATATTTTTCAGGTGCAGAGCTCTTACGCTTTAGCAGTCCACTTCAGTATTGTAATCATCAGTTTTTATTTTGGTTGCAAAAGATATTGTAAGTTCTGTTCAGAAATATGATTGATAACAGGTCTCTGTCTTTTAGACCAGTACTTTTCATGGTTGTTCACTATCTGCTAGTATCTCTAAGAATAGCAGCTGAAAGACTGGAATTTAGTCCCCAAAGCAGGTAAGATGTTTAGGATCTGGCTGAATGCTACTGCAGAAGTGTGCACAAATAGGCAGAGAAGTTGAATAAGTTAACTGATGTGTAAGTGATGGGCTGTGACGTTTGCTGGTACCTCTTGGTTATCTCTTGTGCAGGACAGCTGAACAGGCAGAGGGAAGAGCAGTCTGCGGTGACAGGAAGGCAGTGGGATCCCTCGCTGATGCTGTCTCAGAAGGGCTTGCAGCATCGTTGCTTTTAGGCAAAGCTTCTTTGCTTGCCGGCTGGCTTGGCCACACAGCCCCATTTGTCAATTTTCTGCTCCTTCTTCATACTGACCATAGCTGTCTGGAGGTGCAGGCAGAGGAAGAAAGCCTCAGTGTGCAGAAGAGATCATTCCAGCCTCTTAATCTCAAACATCTTGGTGTGGTTTTTCTGTCTTTTTTTAACATCTGAGAAAAAACTGATGTACAATACCTTGGTAAGTACAGAGATTCTATCTATATGAATTTTCATGAGATAATTGAGCCACTAATTTCCGTATGTTCTTGCAGTGCATAGTGTGGTGGGGTTTTGCTTGGTGGGTCTGCTTGCTAGACATTAACCCAGCCATAAGAGGAACAGTAGGAAGAGCTTTTTTGCCTGCTCTGTTTTAGCTTGACAGATAAAAGCAGGGAATAGGGATCCTGCAGGTTTTTTGCAAAGAATATTGCTCTATCTGCCACTCCCAAGCAAACAGTTAGGATCAGGCCAATGTTACCACAAACTTAAATTTAATCCTACCTTGGAGATTTTACAACATTATTGGAGTGTTGCTCTTTAACTTGACCCTCAGTTCTGAAGTGAAGACCTCAGGCAAGTGAGGATGCCAGTGGTGTAGGAAGAAGACTGGATCCTGGTATTTCCCAGGGGACCCAGGGCTCAGTCTTTGATGCTGGGTCGTCCTTGCAGAGGAGAGCCAAGATTGCTAGAATGATGTCTCATGGTGTTCGGACTCACTCTGTCCTGTATGTGAGGAGCCCAGACTCTTCTAAGCTGGGACTGAGGTCTGGCTTCTGTCACCACCAGAATCAGGCTGACGAGGCAGGGAGAGGACACAGCTGCAAACGCGATGTCCCGCTCTGATTAACAGATTATTTGCAATGAGCATCCCTAGATAAGCTTTGCTTATGCAAGCTAAGGTTAACTGTAAGTGATGATGTACTCGTGGAGAGCTTTTGACAGAGCCGGGCAGCGTCTTGGCTGCCTCTTCTGGCCAAAGACCTCTGTGCAGTTACTTGCTCGGTCATTCACACCCTCAAGTGCACGGGGGGGGAAAACATCCTCTTGACCTTGTGTCAGCTTTTGCCTCCTCTCCTATCTGTGCCACCTCACTGGTGTCTATTGAGCTTTAATGTATTTTGTGCATTGCAAATAGTCAAAGAATTGTTTTAAAAGTACAAACCCTCAAATAGCTGAAGCTTGCCTGAAACCTGGAAGCCTTGAGCATTCCATTGTGGTTCTGAATGCCTAGTAAATCCTGGAGGGTGACAGAGACTACTTCAATGCTGTCAGACTGGTTTTAGGTATGAAAACACCATTTTACATCGGGTTTGAGCATATGTGGTGGTCTCATAACCAATCCTGTCCCAGCTATCACTTTCGTTGTTTTTAAGTCCTGTTATTTCAGCCTGTAAGCTGAAATCCTGCAGTTCTGATCATTGGGGTTTTTCATGGTCTCAGACTGCAAGCGAGATCCTATGTTTGAACTATTGGACATTTAAAACAAATGAGAAAAATATGTATTTTTCTCTTGCTTTACTTTAAGACAACACAAGTTTTCAGAGCATCATGTCTGGCTGCACTCTAGTGAATACGAAAAGGAAACAATAATGTCATGGAAGACTAGCTGAGCGGATCTGAAAATCCTCCTGACCGCTCCGGAGAGCCCCAGACCTGTGAATGTAAACCAAGGTAAGGTGCAAAAGCAACTCCAAGAAGAAACCCTTTGCTAGGGAGTTACCTTGGTAGGAGAGATGTCTCCAGACCCAGAGGTTTGATCTATTTGAGCCTCCCTCCAGCCTTCTCCTCCATCTGCTGGTGTTGCAGCAGTACCTTTGCTTAGCCAGTGCCAGAGAAACTGGAGCCCCGTGGTGTCTTCTCTGCTACAGGGATCCTTCTTGCTCATCACATGGAATAAGCAGTATCTTTTCCAAAGCTAGTAATTACACATATTTATTAATGAAGCAAGCTTAAGAAATGGTGCTACCTGTGAGCAGAGGTGAGCACCTTTACTCTTTTGGAAACCTTGCAGACTTTTTCTTGCAGTGACCTGTCCTTCTGCAGGCAGACTTGGAGGTGGAGCACAGTGAGGCAGCATTTGCCAGGCAATGCAGAGGCAGAACTGAGCAATCCTTACGGTCCAGATCTGGTCTTTCTATCTTAACTTGCACAGAGCTGTTGCCACCTTCATTATTCCTCTCTGCTGTTTCAATGAGTAGCTACCTAGGTTTGTAAGGAGTTGGAGATTTTGGTTATTCAGTGGAAGAAAGATGCTGCCAAGTTGGTCCCCTGTTAAGAAAGGTGGCTGTAGTGGATTGTTATAATAACACAAATAGGTGCCAATCTACGCCCCTTCTTCCCTGTTCTCTGTTGTAGGGAGAGGTGGCAGTTTTTTCCTCCTATCTAATAATGGCATTTAATTTTCATATGCTGCTTTACATCTCACCTGAGGCTTTTCATCCTTAGGCCTGACATTCATCACCAGGCAGAATCAGTGCTCCAGCCAGCCAACATGACAGTGCTGTTTGATAACTTGTCATGCCATCACTCCATCGATGACTTCCGAAACAAAGTCTATTCCTCACTCTACTCCATGATCAGCATTATGGGCTTTGTTGGCAATGGGTTTGTGCTCTACGTCCTCATAAAGACATACCGGCAAAAGACAGCCTTCCAGGTGTACATGCTGAACCTTGCTGTGTCCGACTTCCTCTGCGTGGCCACCCTGCCCCTGCGTGTCGTCTACTACCTTCACAAAGGAAACTGGTTCTTCAGTGACTTCCTATGCAGGGTCAGTTCATACGCACTGTACGTCAACCTCTACTGCAGCATTTTTTTCATGACTGCAATGAGCTTCTTCCGCTGCATAGCCATTGTTTTTCCAGTCCAGAACATCAATCTGGTATCGGAGAGGAGGGCGAAGTTTGTCTGCGTTGGCATCTGGATTTTTGTCACCCTGACAAGTGCTCCCTTTCTGCGGAATGGGACGTACCAACATGGCAACAAGACCAAATGCTTTGAACCCCCAGAAAACTCTCAGAAGACAAATTTAGTTGTGATCCTGGATTTTATTGCCCTTACTGTGGGTTTCATCCTTCCCTTTATTGTCATAACTATCTGCTACACCATGATTATAAGGGCCTTAATGAAAAACTCCTTGAAGAAGAACCGGGCTAACCACAAGAAGGCAGTCTGGATGATCATCATAGTGACTGTCACCTTCCTGGTGAGCTTCACCCCATACCATGTTCTACGTACGGTCCACCTCCATGTGCTGAGGCTGAAGAATGCCAGCTGTGAGGATGCCATATACCTACAGAAATCAGTTGTGGTAACGCTCCCCTTGGCAGCTTCCAACTGCTGCTTTGACCCACTTCTCTATTTCTTCTCAGGGGGCAACTTTCGGAAGAGACTTACCACATTTAGGAAGGCTTCTTCTTCCAGCTTGACACAAGCTTTCAGGAAGAAGTTCTCCATGAAGGAGAAAGATGAGGAACCCTTTGGAGACAGCCATAAGGAGAATGAAAAGGCAGCTGTGGCCCCTTCATACGGAAGCTAAATCCTCCCCCAAGATCTCAGATGGACAGTAGAAATCTCAGAACTCTTCCAGAAGACATGATGGAGGCTCACAAGCCTTCATAGCAGTGAGATGTGGATCATACACAGTTATTCCATGACTTAGGCTACTTGGTACTACAGCCACTGCTGGGGATGGGCAGCTGCTTCCCCAGGAGCACTGCTTGGACACACACAGCCATTTAGGATGGAGGAGCCAGCACCAGAAAACTATTGATCTGATGATAAACTCGCACAAGCAAACTCTTCAGAGCCTCTATTTGGGCATTAGCTTCATGTCACAGCTTGACAAACAGCGTTTGTGTTGGTGGGAAATGTAAACACATTTGCTGTGCACAGCCCAGTGGTGTTCAGGGAGCAAGTGGCAAATGAGGAGGGCAGAGTTTTCACAGGGTCTTCAAACAGCCACTAAATTATTTACACAGCGAAGGCCAGGGTAATTCCTGCCCTGTTCCAGCTGCTTCTGCTTTGGAGTGCAGTTTTCCAGATAATTGTATGTGGAAGGCTTGCAGGGCTGGTGCTGGGCTCTGCAAACACAAGAACTCAGGCTTGAAGCTTGTCTCCCACCCCGAAGGGGCAGCTCCTTGGCCACGTTTTCATGGGCAGTAGCTCTGCCAGTGTCTTTTGGATTTCTAGAAGAATCTTACCTGTGGGAGCAGTTTTAAAACTGCAGTGTCCTTGTGTCCATCTGAAACTTATTTGAATGGGACTGGTCCTGGAAGTGATGGATTATCACTCCAGCTCTTTGGGAGGTTTTACCTTAAAGCATGGGTCTGGTTACCCAGAGTCAGTGCAGGATCAGGCCTTTCTGAGATAGTGGCCAAGGTTTTTAAAGAAATATTAAAAAAAAAGGCAGAAGTTGCTCTTAAAAAAAGCTATTTATAATACTTGACTTGCTCAAGAGTGTTCATCTTCCTCTCATGTTGCAGAAAAGGGGCAACCCAAGGCCTTTGGAAAGTTCTCTAGAAAGACCCGTATAGTGGAAAACCAGATTGGGCTATGTTTCTTAGGTGAACAAAAATGCCAGAGTCTTGCCAGAGTCTTGGACAGAGGGAAACATTCCCGTGCTTTTCCAGTGAACCTCATGGAAAAGTAGCGCTGCCTGCCTTTTGCTGGAGCAAAGCCCAGCTAGAGATGTGTGATGCTTCAGAAAAGAAACAAATTCTTGTAGGATTAAGACTCCTAGTGGGAAAAGTGGTTGATATATCAATGGCGAGTATGTTTTGATGTGGTATTTATGATGTTACTTGATGTAATCTTAAAGAAATCCATTTTAATACTGTAGAATAGGAGTGAGCAAAGGCAGTTTGGCTTGGAGCAGTGTTCTGCTTGAGAAACTCTTTACAGATACAGATGAGTAAGTTCACAGTTTATACCACACTCTGTGTATCCCTGGGTCATCAAAAAGCACTTAAAAAGGCAAAATTGCCTTCAGATAACTTAAGGATGTGAATTTTCAACAAGATCTGAAAGCCCTTTATAAAAATTGCAAGGATGTGTGAAGCGGAAGAGGGCTGGAAGCTGCTGGTGTACAGGAGTGTTACAGCTCCCCCTAAACGGAGGGCAAAACGTCTAGCTCACAGCTAGACCTGTAGGCTGCTATGAGAAAATGAGTGAGAGTTGGCTAAAACTTCTTTTCAAGGCTTAGCACTGAGTATTCTAGCTCTGTTTCTGGGCATTAAAGGCATTGTGCAACTGTAAATAGAAATCAGGGAAAACTGAATGAAAGAACACGTAGGAATAATATGCATATTCCCAAATATTAAAATATTGTACAGTGAAGCACCATTTATGTATATTGCAAGCATTTCTATTGTTCCAGAGGTGTATCTGTCCTATTTTATTTTTTTAATGAAACAGTGATCATGGCAAGAGAAATGGCAGTGGTTTTGTGCAATAGGGAAGACTACTTAAAAAAAGCTTGCTGAAAATTAAATGACAATGTTGTAAGTAAAATGTTACCAACCACCGTTTTCTGTCTTTGCATACAGATTCTTATTCCCTACAATACACTTTTGTCTACATACAGCACTAGCATAATACTCGCATAACAATAATCTATAAGGATGTATGTGGCTTGGAGCTGGAATTTGGTCCAGACAAGCTGGCCTTTGCTGCCAACTTCAGTGGATTTGGGGCATCATCTGAGGGCAATTGGGGTCTTGGTAGGTTTTGCAGAGGTGGAGCACCCCAACCAATAGCAGTTGGGACCTCAACACATTTGTATTTACAGATAGGAAATGCTTACAAGACGCCTGGAAGGAAGTAAAGCTTTTGGTGAGCACGATGTAGTTGGGTGTCCTACGTGGCCATGTATCACACACAGGTTCTTGCATGGAAAAGTCTACTGAGAATGATGTTTTCTGCTTAGTTTTTCCCAGAACAGATGCAGGATCTGCAGCATGTTATTTAGTTATAGAACTCCAGGCCATGCTGCTGAGGAGGAAGCTTTGCTGTCAGCTCAGCAGAAACCCAGCTCCACGTGAGAGCCAAGGGCAGTCGTCCCCTGCTTGTGACCCTGCTTCACGGAACAAATCAAAGTGCTATCCTTGCAGCAACTGCTGCTCGGGTTCTGCTCAGGATTAAGGACCTGGAGAGAAACAGGTGCCAGGAAACAGGAGCCGTTACTGTCACAAGGTGAGTTCGAAGTTGTGGCATTTGTATGGTCTCTAAAAAACGACAAGGGCTGGGAAGAGGGGGCAAAGTGCCATCCTGGTACAGCGCTGGTGTCAGGAATGCCTCAAAAAAGTGAAGTGTTAGGTTTCTTTCTTGAAACTGGACTGGTTTTTTCCTCTGTATGTGCTGCAGTTTATGGTACAATAGTGTCCCCTAGTGCTGCATTATTCGTGGAGCAACTGCTTGTTGCCTGATGAGGTTTCTTCTTTCTTCAGATGGTGCTCATTGCCTGTAACGTCCTGTTGGCTCTGGTGCTGGTCACAGGCAATGCCCCCCTTTCCTGCCCCTGTCTGCATTTTATTTCATAATCTTTGGGTTTTCCCTCTTGCCTTCCTCTTGGTTTTTTCCTGTTTTCCTGGAGGGAAGGACCCAGCCATGGAAAGGGGTCCAGGTGCACTCATTCACACGTGGCTGCAGGGAACCCAGGTTCCCTTCTCCTGCTCTGGGCTCCAGCAGCACCATCCACATTGTCTAAAAAATGTTGTATCTCCATTGAATGGCTGTCCTGGAATGGAGCTTGGACCCACAAAGCTTTTGTTGGAAGTTGGAGGTAAATACAGCCCTTTGGTATCACATCACCATGACAGAAGTCCCAGTCAAGAGGAGAAGGATTTGCCACACTGCTGTGATGCTGAAGAGGCAGGCTTTGCTGTGCTAACCTTTCACTTACACACTCCTAATTTGGCAAATAACAATAATTCAGTGGGTAAATTAGACAGCAGCATTTGTACTTGTACTGCAGGATCATTTCTCTTTGCTCAAAGATGGAAAAATAACTGGAGTATCATAAGCACTCCCAACCCAGCTGCCTTGTCATTCCTGACCATCACTTGCTGTGCGTATGTCAGCCCGAAGCACTCAAAAACTTGGAATCGGGCCTTCTAAACCATTGCTTAATATGGTCCATGTCTTTTCCCAGTGCTTTTAAAAGGCACCACCAGCTTTTTAGAGTATGAAGTGGAATAAAATGTTTGAATACAAGGGAGAAAAATCTGCTTCGTATCTCGATGGAAGCGGTAACCTCTTCTGGGGGAGCACAGCGGATAACATTCATTCCTCAATGGGAAGATGGGGCAGAGAGTATCACTTAACAAACAGGAACTCCTCGTCTAGCAGCTGCTCAGGGCATGGTGCCTCCCATGCAGAGGAAAACCCGCCCCCCTTCACCTCTTAGAGGACTGGTTTCAGCATAAACTTCTGGGCAAGCAGAGCCAAACAGGCACCATTTTGTCTTCATAGCAGGCTAAAATGTGGTTTTATTTGTGCTTATTTTCAGAGAGGGTCCAAAGCAGCCACCTGCTGCCAGAAGCTAACCACAAACTAGATTTCTGTTTGCAAAAATAACACAGTCTTTCTGTTTCCAAGAGAACAGTACAAACCTTGGTTTCCAATGAATCCTGGCCTTGGCTGCTCTGTGCTCCTCTTCAGCAGCTGCTTGGGATGGGCCTCCCCGCTGCAGCCTTCCCTCGACATGCTGCTGGTGCAGGATAGTACTTTTCTTCATGTTCTTCTTGAGCCATGCTAAAATCATCTGACCCTGACTGCAGGGAGAAGGGCACTTGCTGATTTCTCCTAAGCTACGTGCCCCATGTGCCATCAGCCAGAATTAATTGTTACTTCTGGAAGTGTTAAGTTCTGGGTGAGTTTTCCCCCCATATGCATGTATCTATTTGGTCGCACTATAAATCACAGGAGGTGACATCGTACTTCCAATACGTGATGGCATGTCTATCTTGTTTACAAGCCCTTCGTGGTCTTTCTTCCTCAGGTTGTAAAAGCACTCCCTTTTTTCACAGCTGTGATGCTATCGCAAGTTGTCATTGGAGGTTTTTTAACACCACACCATTTTTGCCTGCTATGGGGGTGAATTCCAATGCCACAGGCTGGGAAGCTCAGAAATTATGCATTGGATGTAACCACCCTTATTATATATGGAGTGTCTTCACATAAAATGCTTGCAAGATGTGAGAGCCTTCAGTTTAACAAGCAATAAACTCCAAGCATTGGCAATAAAGAGAGATTTCCTGCTCTGACCAAGGTGCTTTCTCCCCTACTGTCCTCCCACTGCCTCTACCACTGCAATAGGGGTCTGTACACCGAGGGGCTGCAGATCCCTTAGCAGGAGCTAATTCTCAAGCTGAATCCTAATTTAGCCCTTTTCTTTTTTTTACCCTTTTCCACTATGGTCTGATATTAGAAGAGGGAATTCTTCCATATGGCAGGAGGGAGAACACTGGGATCTTTATCCTTCACATACAGCAGCAGGGAGGGCATGACCTGGTTACTGGGGGGGGACACCAAAAAGTAGCAAAAATGAAGGAAAGCACATCACATTTTAAAATACCATCAGTGTAAGGAATAATAAAACATCTTAGAAGTGCTACTGAAAGGAAACCTGAGGGATGAAGAGCCCAGTCTGCTGCTTGGGGTTACAAATCCACCTCCTGGTGCCTGGGTTGGCAAGATCGGTAGCTCAACCCTACTTGTCCCAAGCTGTTAATTTCAGCTCTGCGAGTGGCCACACACACAAAGAAATAGTTGGAGCATTTGCAAACTTCACTTGAGGGTGAAATGTGCCTGTTTCTTTCCTGTTAATGCAGCTTCTTAAGCTTTAAAGGAAGCCAGACTGCTCTGGAGTAAAGCGAGGACCCTTTGTTAGTTCCATAAATATATTCGAGATGGACATTCACTGTGTTTAGGGGAAGAAAAAGTGTAGGAGTTAGAAGACCTGCCCTATTTCAGTTGGTAATAAAAACTCCACTTCCAGGAATCTGCTGCATGTCCCTGCTAGGGATGCTGAAGACTAAACAGAGTTTGGTTTATGGTTTAGCCCATCGAAATCCTTTTATTTCTGAGGAGCACGTCTCTGGGATGCTCTGCTTGGGCTTATCTTCAAGGCCCCATGCTGCCCCCATGACTCCCCCAGAGGACGCCTCGTGGAATCAAGGACAAAAGGCACAGCATTGCCCTGTGTTTTGGGAATCACTCTCAGCACCAGGAAAGAGGTTTCTGCAGATATTTTGTCCAGCAAGCCCATGCCAGGAGTGCTGCAAAGGGCTAACTTTTGTGAGCAGCTATTGCAACAGGCAAGCGTGTGGCCTGACTGTTGAAGCGCTTCATCCAGCCCAGGAGTCAGCCAAGGCTTTTTTTCCTTTCTGAGTAACCGTTTGAAATGAGACAGTCCTTATTCTCTGCCCCTTTTTCCGTCCAAGTTACTCATGGCAGGAAGCTTGCTGCACTGATGATCACACACTGCTTACGTGAGCGAGGGCTCAGAAATGCTACAGTGCCCTTTCACCACTATTTTTCGTGGAAAGTGGAATGAGAAATTCCCCATAATTGCCCTTGAGCC